GCCCTTCTCTTGCGAATGTTGAGTTTAGCAGGGTTGCCCTCGCATCATCCATTAACTCTCGGTGTTTTGAGATGTCGGCGAATTTAAGTTAATATTGTTTTGAGGATATCAATATTAGCAGTTTAATTCAAATGTTCAAATGTGTTTAATCTGTAAAATTATTTTTGTGTTTCTCAGATATTCATCATCTCGTTCAATCCGTTATCTGTCATTCTAAAAGAAAATCAACTTACTGGTCCTAATTACATTGATTGGAAGAGGAACTTTGACATTGTGTTGACTGCTGAGGGTTATAAGTTTGCGATTACTGAGGCTTACCCGGCAGAGCCCACGGTTGATGCTCCTGAGCAGGAGAAAGGGGAGTATGCCCGGTGGAAAAAGGCTGATGAGATGGCGAAGTGTTACATTCTGGCATCTATATCAAATGTTCTTCAGCATCAGCATCAGTCTATGAACACTGCGGCAGATATACTTCTCAATCTCAGGAATCTGTTCGGACACCAGTCTAGGGCTGCTAGGCAAGAGGCCGTGAGTGCTCTGATGACTACTCGCATGGCAGAGGGCACACCCGTAAGGGAGTATGCTCTCAAGGTTATGGCGCTACTCAATGAGCTTGAGGTTATGGAAGGTTTTATCGACGGGGAAACCCAGGTTGATATCATGCTCCAATCACTGCCGAAGAGCTTTGATCAGTTCCGGTTGAACTACAACATGCACAAGATGAATATAGCCCTTCCAGAACTGTTAGCAGAGCTTCAGTCGGCGGAGGCCTTATTCACTCAGGCGCCTCACGCACTGGTTGCCAAGCAGGCTGGACCTTCCAGGCCTCACAATGGCAGGAAGAGAAAGAAGTTTGTAGGAAAGGCAAAGGTGCATGATGCCCTGGTGGTACAGCGACCGCCCCCTCAGTCTGTGGCAAAGAAGCAGAAAGGTAGATGCCACAAGTGCAACAAGTCAGGACACTGGAAGGTCGACTGCCCTCTCCTCAAGAAAGGTAACTCTCTCGTTAATGTCGTAGAAACATGTTTAGCGGTTGTATCTACCAGAACCTGGTGTGTAGATACTGGAGCCACTGATCATGTCTACAATTCGTTGCAGGGGTTCCAGAAAACCAGGCGGCTTAGGGAGGGAGAGATCACCGTCTACATGGGCGATGCTACGAAAGTGGCAGCTGTTGCAGTGGGAGACGTTACTTTGCCTTTTGATAGTAGTATTTTGGTTTTCAGACATTACCTTTATGTTCCTAGTTTTAGAAAGAATCTTTTTTCAGTTTCTAAACTTGTTTCAGATGGATTTTCGTTTACGTTTGATGAAATGGTTGTTATTCGTTATGGAAAGCGTTTCATTTGTTCTGGTTCATTAGTTTGCAATTTATATGTTCTCAAATCAAACTCTCCCACACTGCAACAAACCGAATTGAATAATGTCACGACTAAATCTAATAAGAGGAAAAAATCTTCGAGTATGAATCAAACATATTTTTGGCACCTTAGACTTGGGCACATCAAACTAAGGAGGATTCAAAAGTTAGTGGCTAGTGGACTTCTCGGTCCATTGGAAGAGCACTATCTAACTTGCGAATCATGCCTAGAAGGTAAGATAGCCAAGAGGCCATTTACCAAGACGTACTAGGATTGATTCATTATGATTTATGTGGTCCTATGTTGATCCAGGTTAGAGGAGGTTTCGAGTACTTTGTCTCTTTTATAGATGATTACTTGAGATCTGGGTACATTTATCTGTTGCACCGCAAGTCCGAATGCTTTGAAAAATTCAAGGAGTACCGGGCAGTTGTGGAGAAGCTACATGGTAAAAGTATCAAGTCACTTCAATCTGATCAAGGTGGCGAATACCTCTTTGGAGAGTTCAGAACATATTTATTAGAAGCTGGGATTGAATCCCAATTGACTGCAACCGGAACGCCCCAACAGAATGGGGTTGCAGAGCGAAGAAATAGGACTCTTAAAGGTGTAGTTGTCTAAGAAGTTTGATATGAAGGATTTAGGATAAGCAGGACACGTTCTTTGTATTAGGGTCGTACGAGACCGTAAGAAGAGAATGTTGTGCTTATCCCAGTCATAATGCACAGACACTGTCTTGGCTAGGTTTAGCATGCAAGATTCCAAGAAAAGTACCTTGCCTTTCAGGAAAGGAATCCCTCTCTCAAAGGAGATGTCTTCTAAGACGCCTCAAGCGATTGAGGACATGAAGACAGTTCCTTATGAATCGGCAGTAGGAAGTCTTATGTATGCTATGCTTTCTACCAGGCCAGATATCAGCTACGCCATTGGCTTAGTAGCAAGATATCAAAGTAATCCGGGTAGGGAACATTGGTCTGCGGTGAAGCATATACTAAAGTACTTGAGAAAGACTAAGGAGTACATGTTAGTTTACCGTGCAGACAGCTTGTTACGGTTATAGTGATTCTGATTTTCAGTCAGATAGGGACGAGAGTAAGTCAACCTCTGGTTATGTGTTTACCTTGGGAGGTGGAGCCATTTCATGGAGGAGTGCTAAGCAGAAAGGCGTGGCAGACTCCACCATGGAAGCCGAGTACATAGCAGCCTCAGAGGCAGCGAAAGAGGCAGTTTGGGTCAGAAACTTCTCGGTGGACTTAGAGGTGATTCTAAGTTTGCCACGTGGTATCACCGTGTACTGTGATAACAGTGGAGCAGTAGCAAACTCAAGGGAACCACGAGTCCACAGAGCATGTAAACACATAGAGCGCAAGTATCATCTGATCCGAGAGATAGTTGGTAGAGGAGACATTGATGTTGCCAAGATTGCATCTGAGGACAACCTAGTTGATCCTTTTACAAAAAGTTTGTCGGAGAAGGTCTTAGTCAAACACGTGATAAGAATGGGAGTTAAGTGCATGGCGATAGGATCGACATAGGTCTTTTAGAATAACGGATTGATAGGACTATACATGTAAAAGCGAAAGCTTTAAGTATAAGTGGGGAGATTGTTATTGTTATATACTGAAAGCTTGGCTTTGGATGATATTTCAATTTTACCCTTTATGAATAAGAAACATGTTAATTAAACAAGTTCTACGTTATGTTGTTTTGCATTAGATAGTGTGGGTCATCATCGGGTGAACCGAAGATCATGCTATCAGTTACTCGTGAAACAAGAATAAGTGGTTCACAACCCAGATGGACATGAACACCCCATCGCGAACGGTTGTAGTGTCAACTGTACAGTTTTTCTTGAATGATTAGTTGCACTAGTACATTTATGTATTGAACAGGATCCTAGAGAGGAGCAGTTCGTTTTATTCTGATCATCATAAACGAACTAGACCTCGGTTAATTACTGCGTACTCTTAACCCATAAGATATTACTGCTAGTTAGATCTTATACATTGGGGTAGAAGGAGTAGCACAGGAGCGCCGCCCCTACAGACATATATGTGTACTATTTATTACTTTGATTTACATGGGTGAGGCTTAGTGAACTGGGCCAATTGACCCGCTGTCTTGGGTAATATTGCTACATGTAGGATGTGCTGTTAGGATATTTACGGTCACCAAGTGCGTTAGTTTGATGATGTCTCCGGAGTGAGTTCATGAAGAATTATTATGCTAAACCCTGCAGGTGGATTAAATTCCGGCATAGTAATAATGTGATGAACGAGCGCTAGCTTCGGTGAAATAATAATAAATTAATTAATTCCTGATTGTCAGTAATCGAATTAATTAATGGACATTATATCTTAAACATGGAGAGATAAATCGAGTAATTATTATTGGAGTCTCAATTGTAAATTGGGCTAGGAAAAGGGAGTGCAATAATATTATGTTGGTAGCCCATTTAATATTATTTAATTAATTAAAATAAGTGGTTTGGTCCACAAGTATTTTAATTAATTATGGAGCCCTAACCTAATCTCGTAAGGGTCCCTACTGTAGCTCTATAAATACATTATTAAGCTCATGGGAAGAAGAGAGAATTCCACATCTTGAAAATCACGCCCTGGTAACACAAAACTCCTCGACCGGCTGGAACTTGGGTAATCGCCTTCCTTCTCGCCGGTTGAACGTCGTGTACCTACAAAGAACTCTCACACCGGAGGGGTTTTCCGGT